AGTCAATCTACCCAGGAAAAAGAAAACGGGGGGGGAAGAAAGGTATTATTGGTTATATTTGAGCTTACGCTACTTCTGGTTTTGCTTTAATATAAAGTTGTAAGGTAAAAACACTATACAATTACAGTTTTTTAAAAAAATCAAGCAGGACAGGAAGCGCGTGAAATCCTAGTTCACAGGTCTGCCACAATTCGCCGTTCTTGTCCTGATTCTTAAATTGTCTTTAATATTGGGCATGTATCTTCCTCAGACATTTTTCATGCATGCACATGTACCCACTGAACACTGAGGATGAAGATATATATTGTCCCGCAGCATGGTGTGTGTATGCGGACCCTGTGGCTGGTCCGAGGTGACATCATTTGACTGGGAAACATTTACGTCTTCATGATATTTCATGTGCCTTTCCAGGAAGAAGAGATGTCTTTGTGCTATTTCAGAATCTCTTTTATGGACCTGACTTAGTGGAGTTTTAAAGCTTTCTAGACAAGAACCAGACCTTCTTTTGAGACTCATTCTTAGCGTATTGTATTTTTCTTCTTCTCCCTCCTTTTGTTTTTTGTTGATGTTGTTGATGATGATGATGATGATGATGATGGGCTCTTCTCAAAGAAGGTGAATTATTGAACTACAGGGATTACCTACCACCTTCCTTCTTTTTGGAAACATCACATCCTTGAATACATTGCTTCCTTGATCTGCTTTGTTTCAAGGACACCGGTCATCTACACCTGGTCTCTTAACCATCCTCTGTGGTTTCCCAGGCCTGCGAGTGATTATCTCGCACCTGTTATTCCTATGACAGAACAGGAAGTATCCGAGAAGATACTGTAGAATCCTGTTTTGTGGACTAGATATAAAATATCCGTGGAATTTGCCTTAAATTAAGCCAAATCCTCATTTACAGTTTACTACCATTACAAAAACATGGAAAAATGCGTATGATCCTCTGCATTTTAGTTGATTCGTCTGCTTTTAGCCAATACATGTGAAAACATTTTATAACTGAGCACATTTTCATCACCGTAAAAATTTTTCTCTCTTTAGGAAATTGTGTTCTTTTTTCTATCAACTATTTTCCAACCCACTCTGCTCTCCCAAACATCAGTTTCACCCAGTCGTGGAAATCTACTGGCTCAAAACTCCCACAGTTAAATTTCTATATTTATTTTATAATTACTTTCAGTTGTACTAGACTAGGGACGGTAGAGAAGAGATCATAGGTTAATTACCAAGAGCGTGAGTAGCTGTATCTTTTGGCTCTGTGTGAGTGTGTGTGTGTATTCCTTGTCTTGCTGCTATGGCTACGGTTTGGGGAGTTAATTAATCTCCATGTATCTCTTTTTTTCAGAATCTCTAAAATGCTTCTATGAGAGTTAAATGTTACAGTTTACATGTTAATCATCTGTCACAGTACCGAGCACATAGTAAACGGCAGTTGGCTGATAACATTGAATTATATGCTTTCTCTGTGTCTGCCCAAGAATGTGCCATCCAGTGCCAAATTAAAAAATATATATACATATATATGTTTTGTTATCTTTATTAAAAGAGAATAACTTGGAACTACTGAGGCATTTCTACTTCCTATATTTTAAATGAAAGTGTATGATCTCATTGTTTAATCATAAAATGCATAATCCAAACAAAATAACCTCCATATAAAGAATACCAGGGAACAGACAATGCAGTATTTTGGGGATACCAAAGCAGAGAGAACAAATATAGAGTAATATGAGCCAAAACACCTGTCTAGCACCAAGAGCAGACATTGCTACATGGGTAGAGTCCTTCTTTTTAGATACGCTGAATTATTTTATGATGGTAGCTGGCTGCAGTGTGTGCTGAGAGTAGGATCAACCAGAAATGCGTAAGGGATGGGTCCTAGTTATCACCCCATTCTAATGTAATGTTATGTAGAGGGGCTCAAACATACATAAAGAATATCAATGAATTTATTTCCTCTAAATAAAAATAAGAAAGCATAATAGCAACAAGTAGTAAACTAAAAGATGTTCACACAATGAAAACATCTTTAGGAAAGTATTCCTAAAATGGTCAGCCTGATGAAGGAAGAAAACTGGAAAATAAATGAGATATTGAGCTTATTTTTTAAATCTGTGATTTAAAAGAATAATTTTTGCCACAACAGAGGATAATTATGAAGCAATGAAGACTCCATAGAATACATATTAATCAAATACAGAATTTGAATGTGCATATAAATTTATAACCAATATGGAGTGAACTTATTTAATATTCAGAAATCCAAAGTAAATTCCTAAATATTGCAGTTTTATTTAATTTTCCTCAAGTCCTGAGAACAATTCTTATAAAATATATTCTGATTTAAATAAATTCAGAATATAATTTCCTTTAAAGATGCATTTTTACATCAATTTATCAAGTCACTAGATGCTGTGCCAGAAGAGCATGAAAACAGAGGGCCGGCAGAACTCAAGTGAAATAAATCACATACTCATTTTCAAATATGGCATCCCAGAATATTAGAACTAAAAGCATTTTTAAGGATTAACTTATCCAATCTCCCTCAGCCTTTCTTTTATTTTTTTATCTTTGTACTAACATTTCCCCTTTAACCACTTATATTTTTTATCTTCTATGTGAGATTCATATTCTTCTCTGTAAGATAAATATTTTTATATGTAAGAATATGTATTTCTAGAAATCCCTGAGATTCATTTTAAAACAGGCTAAGATATAAATTACTTTAATGTCTTCTATCCCTCTTTTGCATATAAAAATTAGATCAACTGACTCAGCCAAGCAGTTAGACCATCAGAAATTAGGAGAAGCTCCAAAGGCCCAGGGATCTTTTTACAGCTTGTCTCCTGTTGGTACGTTTCAATCAATAGGAAACTGCAGCTCATTAATTTTATGTAGAAGCTGTTCCTATATAAAGTCAAAACATAATATTGTATATTATTTGTATTTACTT